TTACTTTTGGGGTTTGTTTATAGAAATAAAATAGTGTAGGGTTTATTTATATTTTATGTGCTAAGAATGGGTATATGACTAAATATCTAATCAAAACCTTAATCCCTCTAAAGAAAACATAATCTTCAGAAAGGCGTGAAAGCAAACAATTGTCAGATGGATTTTCATTTTCTTTTAGTACAAAAGATGTCACATTTAAGGCAATAATAATTTCGTTGATAATGGTAAAATTGTACAAAGTGTTCAAATAAATATAAAATATATGCAACATAAAATTTTGCCAAAAAAAGCCAACCCTAGTTTTATATTGATCTATTTTTCATTGGATTTTGTACAGATTGGGAGACAAGATACAGAGATAAGCATTTCGTCTACGTGTCTTTGATCTCACAAGGAAATGGATATTGTTATTTCAATTGCGTCCAAAATTGCAGAGTCCTTGGTGACACCAATAGGCAGAGAGTTTGGCTATTTGATTTGCTATGATACCAAGATGAAAGATCTAAAGTATCAACTTAAAAAGCTTTTTGAGATGAAAAATGGGGTGCAAGAATTGGTTAATGCTGCCCAAAGGAATGGTGAAGTTATCAACTCTGATGTTCAAAGTTGGCTAACAAGTGTTAACGAGTTAATTCAGAAAGTGTCACATTTTGAGGAAGAAGTCAACATGGAAAGGCGATGCTTGTACCGGTGGAACATAAGTAGGAAAGCCACTAAGATTACACAAGATGTTCGTCATCTCCAAAAAGAAGGAACATTCAATAACGTTGCCCATCCTGCACCTCCACCAATGATATCGTTAGCATTCAAAGAAGGTTTTAAGGATTTTAAATCCAGAATGACATGTGTGAATAGGGTGCTTGAGGTTTTGAAGAATGAAGAAGTTAGAGTGATTGGGATTTGTGGTATGGGGGGTGTGGGTAAAACCACAATGGTGAAAGAAATCATCAAAAGGCTGGAAGGATTGAAAGCATTCGATAATATTGTGATGGCAGTTGTGTCCCAAAGCCCAAGCATTCAGAAGATTCAATCAGAAATTGCAGAGGAGCTGGGGTTTAAATATGATGAGAATACTGAAAGTGGAAGAGCACGAAGGCTCCACAGAAGACTCATGGAAATAAATAGCATCCTAATTGTATTAGATGATGTGTGGACAGAGCTTGATTTTGAGGCTATAGGACTTCCTTCTGGACTTTCTCATAAAGGGTGCAAAGTTTTGTTGACCTCAAGAAACTTGGAAGTGTGCAACGCAATGGGAAGTCAAGAAATTTTTACACTCCCAATTTTAACAGCAGAAGAATCATGGGAACTCTTCCGTGAAATGGTAGGTAAACCCTTGGACTATCCTGATTTGGCAAAACAAGTCATGAATGAGTGTGGAGGTTTACCTATTGCTATTATAACTGTTGCGAAAGCACTAGAAAATAAGAGGAAGCATGAATGGGTTGATGCACTCAAACAACTACAAAGTTCAGCTCCTGGAAGCATCTCTTCGATGAATGACAGAGTTTATTCGAACATACAATGGAGTTATGATAGATTGGAGAGTGATGAAGCGAAGTCATGCCTTTTGCTTTGTTGTTTATTTCCTGAAGATTATGATATTCCAATTGAGTATTTGGTTAGATATGGATGGGGTCAAGGGTATTTTAGTAACACTGATTTCGTGGAAGAAGCAAGAAATAGAGTGCATTCTTTGGTTGACAAACTTCAAAGAAGGTTTTTATTGCTAGATAGCAAATTGAAAGACCATACCAAGATGCATGACATAGTTCGTGATGTTGCCATACAAATTGCCTCAAGAGATCCACATAGATTTCTAATAAGATGTGATGTTGAAAAGAAAGGGTGGCCAAAGATATACGACCATTACACAACAATGTCACTGATACCAATAAATATTGATGAAATCCCAGTTGGTCTGGAGTGTCCAAAACTTGAGCTTCTACACTTAGAAGGCAAATGTTATTCGGAAAATAGCATGGACATCATGTGTAAAGGGATGAAAGAGCTAAAGGTTTTAGGCATGGGTGGGATATCAGCCTTGCCAAGTTCACAAGGACTACTGAAGAGCCTTCGAACCTTGTCCCTAAATGGTTGTCGTTATTTAACAGATATATCTAATGTTATTGGAAGATTAGAAAATTTAGAGATCCTCAGCTTTCGTGAATGCATTAACATCTTAGAGTTGCCGAGGGAAATTGGACTTCTTAAACATTTAAAGTTGTTAGATATTACGGATTGTATTCGTCTTCAGAAGATTCCACATGGTCTCTTATCGAGCTTATCTAGTCTTGAAGAGTTGTATATGGAAAATAGTTTTCGCAAATGGGAACGATCAGCAGCAGAAAGCAAAGATAAGAGGATGGCAAGCCTTGTTGAGGTGATGTCTTTGTCTAATCATTTGAAGGTTTTAGTCATGTATATTCCCAATTTCAACTTCTTTCCAAAAGACTTTTACTTGACAATCCAGACAGCAATAAGATTCCACATATCCAACAGATTGTGTCCCACAGGTTTTAGGATTGAAAGTAACGGATGTTATGCATTCGAAAATAAGTTGGATATTGTTGACAGTGATGCAACGGAATTCATGGAGATTCAACTCTTATTTAAGAAATGTGAAGATTTAATCTTGGGAAGGATTAAGAATTTAAAGTATGTCCTCAATGAATTAGACCAAGAGGGACTGCAACACTTAAAAGTTTTAACAATTTGGGACTGCAGTGAGATAGAATACCTTGTAAATGGAGCAAGTTGGACTCAACAAACAGCCTTCCCTCTCATCCAGTCAATCCAACTCATGTGGATTCCCAAGCTAAAAGCAATATGCCACGGCCAACTTCCACAGAGCTCTTTTATCAACTTAAGATCTCTTGAATTATATGATTGCCCTATTTTAAAATATGTCTTTTCTCTATCAGTAGCAAGCAACTTGGTTCAACTTCAAAGCTTAAATGTTGACCGGTGTCGCCAAATGAAAGAAATTGTCTCAAAGGAGTGGAGGGAACATGAGACGGCATTGGACATCATAGCTTTCCCTAAATTAACAAATTTGACACTCCAAGGTCTACATAATTTCGTTGGTTTCTACGAAGTCAACAAGCTATACTCCAACTATGAGGTATGTTACATATATAACTTATTATTTTGATGCTTGAATAGTATAATTGTTTTGTTAATTCTTTGTGCCTCAAATTTTTTTTTTTGGGTCTGAATTTAGTTTCACTGTTTGGTTTGAATTTACTCCAACCTTTGTGCCTCAATTTAGTTTGACTGTTTTAGTATCAACCTTTGTGCCTAAAAACTGAAAATATTCTCATACTAATAAATGAGGATCTTGCCTTTACCAAAAAAAAATAATAATAATAATAAATTATTGTGCATACCAGGATATTTATTAAATGAGGATCTTGTCTGAAGTTGATCTATAAAATGTTTCTTTAAATATTTATAATTAATGAATCTTTTCAGGTAACAACACCCAAGGATGAAAATGTGGTAGGAACTTCATATGTTGAGCATCAATCTTCTAGAAGCTTTGAAAGAGCGGTATTTCCATCAAAGTGCATTTTATGGTTACAAAATCTAGAAGAAGTGAAACTAAAATTTGACGATGGCATTGTAGATGTGTTATTTGATCTGAATGGCCATATGGTTACGGATGGGCCAGCACTTTCTCATTTACGAAAATTGGAGATTTTATTGGCTTTTGCATGTCAACACCTTTGGAAGAACATTCCGCGTGGATTCCAGGGCTTCCAAAACTTAAGACATTTCAAAATAAATTATGGTACTGATCTCCAATATGTGTTCCCACATTCAATTGCCAGGCTCCTTGTAAATCTTGAAGAGCTCAACATAGCAGAATGCTGGAACATGGTAACTATAGTCGGATCCGCAGATGAAAATGAAAAGGAGGATCAGACGGGCATGACTTTGTTTCCCAAACTAAATAGTTTTGATCTAGACGGGCTTCCCAAACTGAAGACATTGGCTTCAGTAATTCCACAAATAAAAAAGTTGGAGAAAGATTCAACAGCTCATCACGAAGACGAAGACGAAGGTATTTCATCAGGATCTTGTGGATGTACACCTTATTCATGTGGCCCAATGACCAAACCTACTTCAAGAACAAATATTGTTCAAATATTGTCACGTCCAGTCAATCAAGAGGTAAGCATTTCAATTTACTATTATTTTATTTCTATGAACCTACAGTTGCTCAATTGATGTTTGATTTTCTAGGTTGCCCCAACAAATCTTGATCAAGACTCAAATGATTATGATAATCTAGAACGTCTTTCTATACTATCCTGTAAGTCACTGGAAGTTGTTTTCCAACTCAAGGGATCGAAGGCTGTGGAAAGCCATAACGTTCAAGCATTCAATAAGTTGTGTTACTTGTCGTTATACAAATTGCCAAGTTTGATGCACGTATGGGAAATAGGCGGTTCACAACATATCACGGGCTTCGGAAACTTGACATTCTTAAGTGTATCCCACTGTGGCAGTTTACGATATTTGTTCTTGTCAACTGTAGCCAAGCTCCTTGTTAGTTTAAAGGACTTAAAAGTTGGGAATTGTAAGAAGATTAAACAAGTTATTGCAAAAGTAGACATTGAATGTGCAGATCAGGAAGTTACATTTCCTCAACTAAATTCCATGAAGTTTGAAGATCTACCAAACCTCATTTGTTTCTCTACTGAAGCTTATACTTTGAAGTTGCCATCTTTAATGAAATTGAAGGTTATAAGATGTCCATACTTCAGAACATTTGCTTCCAAGGTTGTCAACACACATTCTAGAATCCAAGTACACACAGAGTTGGGACAGTCTGAGTGGATGGGGGACCTCAATAGCACTATAGGGAACTTTCACAAAAAAAGGTATGCTCCTGAATGTTTACTGCTTTTTAGTCAATAATATAACAATAAAAGTGTTTCTTTTTCAAACATGATTGCATCTCAATAATACACATTCTTTTCTTTTGAATACAGGGAAACACAGAGAAGTACAGAGGTGAGTATATGTATGTCGCTATCTCCAACTTCTATATTAAGGAAACACTGATGTTTACAAATCTTACTAAAAAAAAAATACGCCATATTATGCCATATTAAGGAAAGAAGTAAATTAAGTTAGCAAGATCAAATTACGGTTCTAATGATATAAAAAAAATAATAATAATTAGGTGTGAGATTGTTTAAGCTTCGATTTGACAATAAATTACAATGTATTTCATGTGTGTATGAGGTTTTTTTAATTCAAGTGTTCTATCATTGCGATGTAGTAGACGAAAATGAGAAAAAAACCTAATTCTGATGTGGTATCTCATTAGAACATCTCCAATGGGCTCCTCCCTAAATGAGATTCTAAGTTAAAATTTAGAGTAAATGTCAGGAACCCAACTTCAAGTATCTCAAAATATGAAGTTCTACAGTTTCTTCAGTTCAAAAAAAATGCCTAGGCAGAGTATTTAGAGCCTTCTGAAATTTGAATTTTGTAGATTAGTCTAGAGATTTCTGAATGTTGTAGCTTTTTGCATCATTATCAAAAACACTCCGAGGCTCGTTTTAAGTCCCAAGTTGACGATTCTCACATTTAGTGCATGGATGAACACTTTCATTATTTTTCTAGTTTAATATTGTTTCCCTCTTTTCAGCACATTCATGAGGAGGTTTGAGGTCTGTTCTGAAGAGTTTTATGAGGATGTGCATACAGACTCTACAGAGTGAGTTCTTGAAGTTTGGAATAGCAAGTTGCAACTCCACATCTCTAACCTCATCAATTCTTGAGAAACAATCCCATTTCAATTCCAAGTGTTAAAGTGTATTATAATTCATGTACTGGATTTCATTTGTATGTCATTCAAATGTTAGAGCAGATCTGATGGTTAAGGCATAAGTTCATGTATTTTCAAGAGTTACGAAGGATTGATGTTAAATTCTCTCTTCAAATAAATACTTCTTGAAGATCCCTCTGCTGAAATTTTTTCGACTTTGTTAGCCGAATACAACAACAAAATTTCATAACCTCTCCTACATATCTTTCATTTTTAACACATCAAACCATCATTGAGTTCAATGTGCCATCAAATTTCAAAGTTCAACAACCAAATTTTTACAGTTCAAATAAATAGATATTTCTTGACGATCCCTCTGCTGCAATTTTTACAGTTTTTGGTAGTGTTTGCCCGTTTTGCGTTTACTCCTGTGATGGAAGGGCAAAGTTCCCCACTGCCTTGAGAACCATAAACTGGTCGACAAGTCAGCTTTCTTTGGTGTGCGAGCGTGCCACTGCTAGTAATAAAAATTCTAGCAGACTTAGTTTGGAATAGATAACTTGCGCCCCAAGTTACTGATTTCTGCAAACAAACGATTGTGAATTTGGGTGAGGAATATCTCCCAAGTAAGTTCTTTTCTTGCCTCAGACGGGTGAGGACTTTAACAATTTATCTCAGTATAAACAGGCTGTTCTGGCCAGAATGGTTGATGGAATTTAAACTGTTTCAGGCAGAACTGATGGAATTTAAACTGTTTTTAGGCAGAACTGATGGAATTTAAACTGTTTTTAGGCAGAACTGATGGAATTTAAACTGTTTTTAGGCAGAACTGATGGAA